CAAAACTGTCCTGGAGGGGGAAGAATAACTGAAGATTTCATCGTGAATATGTGATTGGGAGTTAATGGCTCCGGACCCAAAGGATCATTAAGATATCCACACTTAAGAGTCTGCTGTTAATGATGGCCATTTTCACATAAAAGGGCGTTCTTAGACTAGTTGTATCAAGTCTATTTGAGAATTTATCTAACATTGCATCTAGTACGCTTAGTACTGTTCGAATTTGGTGTTCCCAGAGGCCTCCCATGTGGCTAGCTGATGGTACGTTCATCACAAACTCGCAACCAATAGCTCTTTGTGGTTCTTGGTCCATATCCTTCATTAGCTACAAAAATCTCTCCTGGCTCTCATAAAATCTGTCCCTTGGTGTATTATGAAATTAAGGCAGGATCGGGATGAGTCAACAATAAAGATGACACGCACAGAACACACAAACTGTTTCTGCTAGAATTAAAATGCGTTGTTTTATTCCGCAACAGAAAACAGCAAAGTAAGCACATCAATCAAGGCACGGTGCTGAATTCAAATTATATTGTCTCAATACAATTTATAGTGTCCCACTACCGTGACAAGGATCCGAGGGCCAGTCGATCCCAGCAGGGCAGCAACTCGCGCAGCTAGGCGTCCTTTCGCAACCCTAGCAGACCCTGCCAGTGCCAACCGCCATCCGTCATTTATGCCAAACTTCAAAAGAAAATCTTTCACTCAATCAGGAAAAGTGATCGCTCCCTCTCACGCCTGGAGCGCATGACTACAGAAACCAAATATGTTTTGGGCACCCCCTGAACTCACCCAGGGCTCGTGGACAGCTGAAACCAACAACAAATTACATCATGGTCAGAGCATGGCATAAAGAGCTTGTGAGTACAAAAACAAATTATCTCATGCTCTCAAGGAAACAGAAACTTAGATAATGAGAGTGCTTAGGTAATAAGAGTGCTTCATTTGTGATACAAAACTTGTATGATTGTCAAAGAACATAAAAGATAAAACCCATATATATCACTCCACACCTTGGTCTTTGGCAATTTTAGTTTTGGAACTGTCTTCCCCATTGTTAACTACAATATGGGTTTCATCTAATTCAGGGGTGTCAAACTGGTTCCAGAAAGGGCCGTGTGGCTGCAGGTTTTCTTTCCAACCAAGCAGTAGCACACCAGACTGCAGTCATCTCATCAAGTGAGTCCAATCTCAACATGATGACCTGATGAGATGACTGGAGTCTGGTGTGCTATTGCTTGGTTGGAAAGAAAAGCTGCAGCCACACATGTTGGGATCCTGAGGCTTGCCAACCAGAGGGCGCCGAGGATACCTTCCTGAGGGGTTGTGTTACTCTTGGGATCTGGGGGTCTGTCTGCCTTTCTCCACCAGAGGGTGTACTGGATCTCCTGAGGCTGGAGCTGACTTCACCAGCTGTTCTTCATCTGCTCATCAGGAGACAAGCATTTAAGTGGGCTGAGGACCACACTCCAGTGCCAGAGTGTTAGTCAGTCACGGTACAGCAAACCCTGAGCCAACCTGCCTGTCTAGTCTCCTGACTACTAAAACCTGAACCTGATCCTTTTTGTCTTCTCTGCTTCTCAGGTTGAACCTGCCTGCAACCAGAAACCCTCCTGAAGAGTTTTCTCTGTTGGAAATCGGTCTGCCTGATCTCAGTAGATCCCTGGAGAACCAAGCCTCAGCCCTCTGCCTGCCGTGAGCCTCTGAACCCTCCTGGTTCCCTCCTTCTGCCTGCTCAGCTCAAACCTCAGCCCTCAGCCTGGCGTGAGCCTCTTAACCTTCCTGGTTCCCTCCTTCTGCCTGCTCAGCTCAAACCTCAGCCCTCAGCCTGCCATCTGCCTCTGGACCCCCCTGGTTCCCCTTTTTGCCACTCAGCACAAACCTCTGAACAGTGAATCCAGTCGTGATCAGCCCCTGGACCTGATAACCCACCTGACCTGTTTTTGTATGCTCTCTACATTAAACCTTTGAACTTTTAAACCCTAACCTGCCTCCTGGTTGTGTTCTGCATATGGGCTTTAATCCAAAACCCATCATGACAACACGGCCCTTTCTGGAACCAGTTTGACACCCCTGATCTAATTAAAGGAAGGCTATTTTAATTTCCTATGCGCATATAATTTTGATTTACCTTTGTGACGGTTTTTACAAGGTTAATTATTTTAGTTTTAGTTTTTTTTTTAACAGCGTATTTGTCACTTTTTAGCGGTGCCAGTCAGGTATCCCTCCTGACAAGTAGGATTAATATTTATATATTTTTAAACCAGTCACACAAGGACCATACTCTTTTGTGTGTAGACCTTTACAAATAAAGAACGAAAACTCTTCACAAATAGACAACAAAAATAAGGCTTAACAGTCCTTGTATCTCAAAAAGAAAGATAAATATATAGCCATCAAAAAATAATCACAACATTCTTCCCCACAAAATAAATGTCAATTTTTTCCCAATGGATCAGGGCTCCAATATAAATTGCCCCACAACAAGAGCTGTGAATAAACAAGAAAAAAAACATAAGAGCCAATACACAACAAAAGTCCTACAATTGCATAAAAAACAGCACAAACAAACATACATAGAATGAACTTACAGGTCAGATGAGAAACAAACCTTGCTTAGAGGCAGGAACTGGATCAGGTTTTCTGTTGTTGGTTTCACTAGATGAATATATTTAAAATTTAATTTATTTTTTGTAAAGTGGCAAAATGATTAAATAGATTTTATATTTTCAGTAAGTATAGCACTTATGGAGGATCTTTAACTGTGACGTCACCGGCTTCCGGGTAATTGTGATGACACGTCGGCAAGGCAGGAGCACAGAAAGGAGTTTGTTTGTTTTTCTCTTTTTTGTTAATGATTGGTGGTATCCAGAACAGAGGCAAAATACTGAAAGCACGAGGGATTAAACGGCCTTGGACAGACTTTGTTACTGGTCGACAGAACGGAATATGCAGACATAGTAGCAGCACCTGTTTCTGTTACGCTGTCTGCTGAGACACTGACATTTTCAAACTGGAGCTAGGAGTCAGATTAAACAGCGCACCAATCAGGTAAGTGCACGTGTTCAATGGGCGTAAAGAAGGCGTGTCTTGAGCTGTGAAGAAGCAGGTGGATTTATGAATAACGGTGCAGCCAGCTGTGTGCAACAAGCAGGTTGTCACACCTTAAACTAGGTAACCTAAGCCTATAAATCTAATAAGGCCATATTTCTCTACTCTCACTCCCACCTGGAGGCCTCCTAAATGTGACCGCTCATCATGGAAAAAACATCCATCCCAATTTACCAATCATTCAGTCCCAGTAGGGGACGTCACAGGACAGGTTGGGCCGTTCTCCACCAGAAAACTCTACCTTCTCTAAAAGGTAGTAAAAACCGGGGTGACCCTAGGGAAATCCCACTCAGCCAATCTGAGCAAGGAAACCCTGTTTTGAATCTGACAATTATCATTATCAACTACTTAAAGAAACTTTAAGCCAATCAGGTTTTGAGTCTTTCTATATCAAAGCAAAAGTGGCATAAAACTTGATCTTGGTGGGTCTGGAGCAAAACATTTCCATGGTTTTCATCAAAACAAAATCAAAATAAATCAAACATATAAATCACAATTAGGTAAATTAAAAATTATCCTGGCCCGAGTAAAAAGCTAATGATAAACATCACTGTCACTGATAAATTCTTTCAGTGTCTCCATTACTCATCAGTCTAATTAATCAATCAGATTCTCGTATGGCCTCCTCCACAGCCCCTTTGGTCTCCATGCAGTCTGATGGCAGATAGATGCTGAATCCACTTGGTGGTTCTCAAGGAGTGGTTGTCATCACAGTTCAGCAATCCATTCCTCCAGGATCCTCTGGCACACAAAGACTTTTTTTTTCATCAGTCTTGTCCGATGATCCCATGACCTTCCATCACCTCATCACTGCCAGTGGCCTGTTCTCATCTGAAGCAGTGGGCATCCAGTCACCTCCTTAATGTCTGCATCTCAGCAGCTGCACACCATCCGTCCTTCTGAAGTTTAGGTGTAAAATTAGTCTCTGTGTCCCCTGTAGTGTAAACCTTCCTGTGACTCAAGAAAGAAAGTGTCCAATGTCTCTCCAAACAAAAATCCATTGTACATTTTGAAACATTTCCATCCATAGTGTAGTCAGAGCTATTCAAACAAAATTAACATGCGTGCCATGTCTTTTTTTCCCTCCTAAAGGCTAAGATGTTAGTAAACATACAAAAAGGACAAACATACAGACACAAACAATGACAAACATGTAAGACAACAAAACCCCCCGTAGTGTCTCTGATTCCGTCAAAAAGCTGTAGGTTCATCATGTCATTCATTTAATGCCTCTGTCAGCATGACTGCTCTTAATGGGTGCCCAAATCCACCCCAACAAAAGTCACCAAGCTTCAGACCACCATATCAATCTGCACCTCATAGGTTATATCAGAACCAGAGAGGAATTAAAAGAAACTCAGAGATAACCAGAATGGCTTTCAGCCAGGAACAAAACATGCTGCTCACAATCTCTAAACACTCTATCTGGCATGCTGCGTTCTAACACCATCTCTCTGATGTCCCAATCAGTGATTCGGATTCAGTCCAGTCGTTAACCAAGTCAGTCCAGTCAGTCAGAACCTAATTAAATCCTTTAATCTAAAAGTTTAAACCATCTGAACCCCTCTCTCTCTCTGGTTGCTCTCAGCCAAGCTGTTCATTTTATTTGCCAGGACTTCTGCACCTGCTGGGAAAATAAGGGTTAATGCACATATTAAACAAAATACAATGGATGAGACTTTGCCAGCCTGTCCTGGAAGAAAAATGTTAACATTTAAGGCCTCCAAATTATCATGCCTGCTCACTGACAACCTCACTGTCACTATCTACAGGCAAGGCAAAAGTAAATGACCCCTCAGGTTTGTAATCATTTCATTTATTAAAGTTAGGCAAAGTTAGTAATGAAAAACAGGAGGCTGAAAAGCCCAGGGTCAGGTCACATCAGAATTGTTTTTAATTCTCCAGCCTTGTTTATAAAAGTTAGATCCAGCTAATCTGGTGAGCTCCTGCAGGTATCTTGGCCGTATGCTAAGAACTGGTATCACCCATTCTGCTTCTCTCTGGATAAAAAATAAATAAATAAAATTTATAATCTATTAATCTACCATCTCTCAGCTGCACTCCATACCCAAAAATTACCTCACTTTACAACAGCAACCTGCTCTGGTCCTGTCAGAGCCTCTCTTAAGTGGAGCCTCTGAGCAACATGTTTGATAGGATTACCCTTTTGTCATGCCCCCAGAGCTCCTTCTGAATCCTATAAAAATGCAAATCATATTAATGTCACATCAAAAACTTCTCTAGATCATTTCAAAATGCACCATACACATTCTACCTCACATGCATTCCATATATAGGACAGACTGACAGACATTGGCCAGATAAAGTTTGTTTAATTCATCAGTAACAATTTGTTTTAATCGATCTTCATAGTGGAATTTTCCCAATTTCAACAAAAAAATCATAAATTCTTCACCAGTCTGGTCTTAAGACCTCTGCACCAGTGGTTTTTAGCCTAATTTAGGATCCTTGTTAAACTACATGTGCACATTTTTTTTTGTGTTTTCACACCCAATGATTTCCATCCCACCCCATGGCTAATCAAGCCACGAAAGCTCTAACTCTTTTCGGTGCGGGTTTAGGGGGTTTCGTCTTATGTTTCTTTTCAGTTTTTAGCACAGCAACGTGGACCACAGTCAGTGCTGTCACTTGTTCTAGCTGATTAGTTAATAACAACACACGCTGCTTAT